TTTTGAGACAGAGTCTTACTCTGTCACCCAGGCTGGAGGACTGGAGTGCAATGGTATGATCTCAGTTCACTGCACCCTCTGCCTTCCAGGTTCAAGTGGTTCTCCTGCCTCAGCCTCCTGAGTAGGTGGGATTACAGGTGGGTGCCGAGACACCCAGCTAATTTTTGTATTATTAGTAGAGGCAGGGTTTCAGCATGTTGACCAGGCTGGTGTCAAACTCCTGATCTCAGGTGATCGCCTGCCTTGGCCTCCCAAAGTGCCGGGATTACAGGCGTGAGCCACCATGCCTGGCCAGCTTTCCTACCTTTCAACTTGAGTTTACTGAGGGATTGAAACATTTATTTCAACAAAATGTGCCTGATGTGATCTCTCAATGATTAAAGATACCTGCTTAGTATGCATTAACTTCAGCGCAGTATGCGCACCTCTCTGAGGATATCTCTACTAAGCCCTCAGTGACTGATGCTGCTTCACTTTCTTCAGGTGTATAAATTGAAAAGGCAATTTTTACCTGCTATGAAGTGCCAAGAAAACAGGACTTGGCTCCTTGGGCATGCCTTTGGTCTTGTTACTGACTATCAGATGTTGCTTGAGCACATTTGGAAAATAACTTTGTATGTTAAACATTTGGAAAATCAGAGTATTATACTGCAAATCACTTCAAAGAGGGAAAATACCGAACCATAAAGCTTAGCCAGATGTGATACAATCATTTCACTGAACATACGAGATAGGTAAAACTTTTTCTTTCAAGTAATGAACACATTTGATTGTAATTTGAGCTAAATTATTATATTTCCTTAAAAAAAAAACCTAGAATGTTAAAAGTCTGAAATCCATTTCAGCAAGTTTAAAACATTTGGGTGTTTAAGATACTATCACAGGTCTGTTATTCCAGGTTCAATTTACTTGGAATTCTGGATTCTAAATATTTTTAATTGAAGTTAAAGTGAAATCAAATGTAAATTAGCCTGTGATTTTTTTCGTTCTGATTATTTTTAGGTAAGTAAATGAAGTTAGGATGTGAGACTAGCGAATAACATTTGCTGAGAAAACCCATTACTGTGAAAAAATTCCAGGAGGAAATTGAAGAGGGGAGATGGAGCAAAGTTGATTAAAAACAACATGAAAATGGCTAATACATTTTGGGAAACTTTTTTTTTTTGAGACAGTTTCACTCTTGTTGCCCAGGCTGGAGTACAATGATGCGATCTCGGCTCACCGAAACCTCCACCTCCTGGGCTCAAGCAATTCTCCTGCCTCAGCCTGCCAAGTAGCTGGGATTACAGGGATGTGTGTACCACCACACCTGGCTAATTTTTTGTATTTTTAGTAGAGATGAGGTTTCTCCATGTTGGTCAGGGTGATCTCGAACTCCCGACATCAGGTGATCTGCCCGCCTCGGACTCCCGCCNCCTAGGAATTCAAGACCAGCCTGGGCAACATAACAAAACCCCACCCTCAATCTCACCCATCCCCAAAAAAGCACTAAATTCTTATACTCCAAAAATAGAGATAGGGTCTTGCTTTGTCACCCAGGCCTGGATGCAGTGGCACAATCATAGCATAGCAATCCTCCACCTCAGCTTCCCAAGTAGTTGGGACTACAGACAAGAGCCATTATGCCTGGCTAATTTTTTAATTTTTTGCAGAGATCGGTTTTGCTATGTTGCCTAGGCTGTGGGAAACTCCCTGTTTTCTTTTTCTTTTTTGAGATGGAGTCTCACTCTGTTGCCCAGGCTGGAGTGCAGAGGGGTGATCTCAGCTCACTGCAACCTCTGCCCCCCCAGGGTTCAAACAATTCTCCTGCCTCACTCTCCTGAATAGCTGAGACTACAGGCGCACGCTACCATGCCTGGCTAATTTTGTATTTTTAGTAGAGATGGGGTTTCACCGTGTTGGCCAGAATGGTCTCGAATTCATCACCTTAGTTGATTTGCCTGCTTTGGCCTCTCAAAGTGTTGGGATTACAGGTGTGAGCCACCATGCCCAGCACAGTGGAAAGCTCTTTATGACAATTAATAGATGAGTTCACTAGGGATGACAGCACACCCTCCAGAAACCATATTTACTACAGATCACCCACAACTATTACGCTCAATACTAACTACAGCTAGTGTTCGACTTATGACCACGGTTGGGACCGCGGACTGGTTGTAACACGATTTGGTCGTAAGTTGACTAGGCTATATGTACAGTTGAAATGGTGCACGCAGAGATGGTAGTGCTGCCGGAAGCTGGTCCGCACTGTCGTACACCCAGCTGGACAACGTTTGCGCTGCCAGACGCGGAGCAGTCGTGGCTAGCGATTGTGGTTGTAAAGTCGAATGGTCGTAAGTTGCATAGGTGGTAAGTCGATCAATACCTGTAAAGGGCCAGAGGATTGGATTCACATAACATTAAAAAATGTACACATACATTTTGTAAATGTAAGGATACTATTTGCATTAGTAAACAACTTACCTGTGTTCCTAAAATGTCATGCAAATGATTCTTGCAAATCTGTTTTAACTAGGGAGAAAAAAATGTATTGAGATAGTTATACTAGACCTATCAACCACTAAAACTGAACTTGGAAGAAAAGATCCAGGAGTTCATAGCTTAATTCTAAACCATCTATGCTTCTCACTTAAAAACAGAGAAGTGCTGATGTAAATGAGTTGCGAGGTTATCTGACTACCTTCAAAGAACATCCTGCAGAATCTTTGAAGGTTTTATCCCTGGAAGGATTCCTAGGTGAAAAGGGGGCACCTATTTCATATTCTACTTTTGGATGCCTCCTTGCTTTTGTTTTATGATCTTGACCAGGCTTCTTGTGTAGGTTACAACTTATTTCTGGGTGTGAACCCGGGCTCCTTTTGTAGGTTATAGTTTATTTGTGGGTGTGAACCCCCTTCTTTTGCCTGGTTCAATCTCTTCAGTGGTCTGGGAAAGAGACCCCTCCAAGCAGTGACCTGTTTTAAATCCGTGGGCCTCTCTATTACTCACTTCTTAGCGCAACCCCCCTTCACATTCCTGCTGCTTGGGAAGATACTGGGGACAAGAAAAGCCTCATAGATTAAGAAACCATTTTCTCTCTAGGATGGGCACAAGGTGCAGGGCTATTTCCTTACATGAGTAGGTATTTTAAAACCTGGGCAGGAGATGCCATGCTGTAAATTCAAAATTAAAAAAAATTTAATGCGAACCTTGTTTTTAACTTCTAGAATAGTCTTTACACTATTCTCCACCACCTTCCCGTTGGCTGGGTAGAAATAAGGACCACCAAATGAGAACAGGCTATTTACTCAGAGCTGGCTAGGGAGTTAGCCGCGATCACTTGGTTTGGCAGAGACTCATAGGCAGGCAGGGGAATGGAAAAGCTCTACATATAGCGAAGAGGGAGAAACTTCAGGTTGGCTCTGATTGGTGGCTGCTGGCACCGGGAAGTTGGAGGAGGGTTAACTAGAAGCAGGGCTTCTTATGTGATTGGTTTGTGGAGGGAGCACATTTGGCTTTCTCTGATTGGCCCAGAGCTGGAAGCAGCGGCAAGAAATAGGGAAGCTGCCAGTTAAAAAGATCAAGTCCTGACCATTCTGGGCCGATTACTGCAGAGGTCATGGGTAGGAGTTTTAATGTCACATAGGGTTGGCCATTGTTTGTATATTCAGTCTCTCAATTGCATGAGACCCAGATTTTTAGTTTCTCTTGACCTAGTTAGCTTTTAGCTCCAAAGTTTTGTTTAACTTGAGAGAAAACAGCAGTTCTATTATTTCTATCAAGGATAAACAGACCTTGGGATCTGAAAAGTAATTATGGAAACATACATAAATATCTTTATAGTGAGGGCCAGGCAGAAGAATCACCCTCTGCCTTCAGGTTCTGCATTTCCTTACAGAATTTGTTTCCATTATAGCTGACGCTTCAGTAGGTTCCTTCCCTTCGGGGGAGGCTCGGCCCCCTCCGCCCCCACTTTCTCGAGTCTCGCCCTACGAAGGCAGGAGAAAGGGTTATGCACTACCAAGCGCCGCGCCTTACAGCCCAGTTTCTCCCCCAACCACCCTTTCCTCCCAGGTGCGCTCTCTCGGCTTGCTATCCTTCCACCAGGCCTCCCCACTTCCCCTGCGCAGCGCCCCCTGCGCGGCACCCTCACAGCCCGGCCCCTGCCCCACCCCAAGTTGTGCCTTCTTCTCCCTGTTCCTTCTCAACAGGTCTCCCAAGATACACCCTCCCAATCGGGTCCCCTGCCGTCCTCTCCGGGCCCACGCTCAAGCCCGGTGCCTTCCTCCTGCAGCCCCCCGAGGCGCACTCTCAAGCTCCGTGCCTTTGCTCCCAGTCCCCCAGGGGCACCCTCGAGCCTGGTACTCTTCCTATGGGAACCCCTCGGGCGCACCCTCAAGCTCGGTGTAGCCGCTATACCATCCCCAGGCGCGTCCTCTGCCCGTGCCTTCCCCCAAGGCGCACCCTCAAGCCAGGAGACCTCCCCCTACCGGGCGCGCCCTACAGGCCCGCCCCGCCCCTCCGCGCAGCGCCCCCCGCGCGTTCTCTCTAGTCCTCCCTTCTGCCTCCAGGCCCGGTCAGTCCTCTTTCCGGCCCCCACGCTCAGAGGTGAGCCGGCGTCCCCGCGCCGCTAGCTCCGCGCCTTCCTGCATGGAGGCGCGCCCCGAAAGGCTCGGACGCGGCCCCCTAGGCCCGGCCTCAGCCTCCCCGGCTCGCAGGAGACGTCAGGTCAGCTTCCTGTCCCCGAGCAGCTGCCCGAGGGCCAGTTTTCAAAGCATATCTTTGGTCATGGAATAAGCAGATCCTCCTCTGGTCTCAAGTCCCAATTTTTACTTTGGAGGGGCGAAGGCAGGGCGACCCTTGCCAGCCACTATTCCCCCGTCACTTCGCAGCTGTGGAAAGCAGCCTTCCTGTCCCTTCGGAAAGAAACTCGTATTTCCCCTCGAACTTTTTCCGTCGGTGTGAGAGAGGAGCCCTCCATTTTCTTGTCAGGAGGCTTTCGCGGCCCGGCTTCTTCCCACCACCAGGCAGGGGAAGCAGTGACGCCGCACCCGCGGCGGCCGAGGTTTCGCCATCTTGAGTGGAGGAGGAGCCGCGGTCGCCGCCATGCGGAGAGGCAGGGAAAGAGGGAGGAGGCGGCGGGCGGGCGAGCTGGCGAGCGAGGGAGGGGGCAGAGGCGCCGAGTTAGCTCAGCCCGGCGGCGACTTCGGCGGCGTCACGAGAGCGGGCAGCGGAGGAGGTAGGGCTGGACGGCCGGGGGAGCCAGTGGCGCTGGCGGCTGGGCTGCGCGGCCCTCGGTGCGAGGCGGGGGGGTGGGGGGGGACAGGCGGCAGGAGGCCGTAGCGAGGGGGCCGGGTGGGGGCGGGCGGAGGTTTCCGAGGAGGAAGGAGCGGCCGCCATTTTGGGAGCTTCGAGTCAACAATAAAGGACTGAGGGTGCTGAGCGGGAGTGGCCTCCTTGATAGGACTCGGCCGGAGCCGCGAGGCCAGGGGTGAGGTGGTGGGGTCGAGGTCAGAGGTGCTCTGGGGGCTGCGGGGAGTCCCCCGGGCCGGCTTTGAGGGGCCATGTCAGGCGGAGGCCTAAGGCCTGGCCGGGCCTGGGGAGGAAGGCGGGCGGCAGCTGTTTGGGGTGGGGGCGCCTGAGAGGAGGCGAATATAGGAATGTGGTGCGCGGCAGGGTCGGCAGGAGGAGCGGGCTAAGTGCTCGGAGGAGCTTTATGGAAGACGAGGGAATATGAGGCCCAAGGGGGCGGCAAGGACTTAGGGGGATGATGGTGGAGGTTATAGGGTACGAGGCGGCCCTATAGGGGGCGGCAGGGACATGTATTGGAGAGCTCTGTTTAGAAGCGAACCCGCCGCTGCTTGATTGCAGTAGGCCTTGCAGGTCAGTAACAGGAGGGTGCTTATGGAGCTCCCGACTGTTGGAGGAAAGGAGGGGGATTTCTGGGTTGGTGGGGGTCCCTTCGGGGTCTCTTGGGGAGAGCCCCTATTGTTTCCTACTGGCAGAGCTGGTTGCTGGCTCAAATTGCGCAGATAGGATTGCAGAGCCCCAACCTTTTGTGTTTATGTTCAGAGGGAGCTGGCTTGAAGTGTGAGTGTTTTGAGGGGTGGGGGGGGGCAAGAAATTATTTCCCTACAGTTACGGGGCTTCCGTCATTGGCTTGTCTCTTTCCCCATCTCTCTCTGTTTTCTCTTCCACAGCCCCCTTTTCCCTTCAGAATAAAACCCTGTCACCCTAACTTGCAGGCAAAGCTTAGAGAAACTGCTGCGCTGCATTTGCAAACAAAAGCTCTTGTTGGCGATGACGATACTGTTTTGGGTGTGAAACTGTCAATCGCTAACTACGATCTGAGGAGTGCTGTAATTAACTCGCTAGGGGCTCCTCCCAACTAGTCTACGTTTCTAGTCTACGTTTCTTTTCTTTTTTTTTTTTTTAAATGTAGAGCGATAACTTGAAAATCTAAATTGGGAAGGGGTAGGAGGAATATTTCCTCTGAGACAAAGCTGCAGTGCAGGTTTCAGTTTAAGAAGGGAGCAGTTATCACATAGTCTCATTTTGGATTTAAGGAGATAGGAGGTCTTACTGTGCATGATGGACAGTAATGATGATATCATTTGGTTTTTAGAGGTTGCCCTTTTCATCCTCTTAGTGCTCTGCGAACAGCTAAGTCTGTGTGAACTGCGTGATACCGCTGATCGTAATATAAACCTGTCAATACAGGAGAGTAGCTGTTAACCATATCTGCTTAAGAGGTCATAGTTGGAAGGACTTCAGAATAAACAACTTTGTGTATGCGATCAGGATTTGCTTGTAAGCAACTTGTTCATTTTTTTTTTTTTTTTTTTTTTAGGAAGGCGTAATCAGGGAGCATTTTCTCATAAATTTTGAGTTTCAAATGCTTTGGTGTATGGCAGAATCAACACTCGTAAGCTAGTGTATTTTAGGTAAGAAATGTAATGGGGTTGCCAGGTGCGGTGGCTCACTCCTGTAATCCCAGTTCTTACGGAGGCCGAGGCGGGTGGCTCAACTGAGGTCAAGAGTTCGAGACTAGCCTAGCCAGCATGGTGAAACCCCGTATCTACTAAAAACAGAAAAAATTAGCTGGGCGTGGTGGCGGGCGCCTGTAATCCCAGCTACTCGGGAGGCTGAGGTAGGAGAATCGGTTGGCTTGAACCTAGGGGACACGAGTTTGCAGTGAGCCCATATCATGCCGCTAACACTACAGCCTGGGTGGCAGAGCTAAACTCCACTTCAGAAAAGAAAAGTAAAGTAATGGGGTTAAATGAAAAGCCAACAGAGTAGGACTTTGTTTTCGGGTCTTGGTGTGTTTTTATTAACAATTGAAAGTAAGACTTAAGCCGGTGCGGTGGCTCACCCCTGAAATTCCAGCACTTTGGGAGGCTGAGAGGCAGGCAGATCACTTGAGGTCAGGAGTTGGAGACCAGTCTGGCCAACTTGATGACACCCCATCTCTACCAAAAAATACAAAAATTAGCCGGATCTGTTATCTCAGCTACTCGGGAGGCTGAGGCAGGAGGATCGCTTGAACCCAGGAGACGGAGGTTGCAATCAGCTGAGATCGGGCCACTGCACTCCAGCCTGGGCAACAGAGTGAGACCCTGTCTCCAAAATAAATAAATAAATAAATACATAAAAGTAAGATTTTCATTTATAGGATAATTTTAAAATGAGGTTGGCCATTTTTGTTTTTTTTTTTGTTTTTGAGGCGGAGTTTTGCTTTTTTGCCCTGTCTAAAGTGCAGGGCACCATCTTGACTCATTGCAGCTTCCGCCTCCTGGGTTTTAGCAATGGTCCCGCCTCAGCCTCCCAAGTAGCTGAGATTACAGGTGCCTGCCACCAAGCCCAGCTAATTTTTGTATTGTAGTAGAGACGGGGTTTCACCATGTTGGTCAGGCTGGTCTCGAACTCCTGACCTCAGGTGATCCACCAGTCTCTGCCTCCCAAAGTGTTGGGATTACAGGCGTGGGTCACTATGCCCATCCTACCAGTTCTTTTTTTTATTATTATTATTTTAAAGTATTAGATTTACTACTTTGGGTTTCTTGGAAAGTTTTTTTTGTTTGTTTTATTTTTTGAGATGGAGTCTTGCTCTGTCACCTAGGCTGGAGTGCAGTTTTGCCATCTAGGCTCACTACAACCTCTGCCTCCCAGGTTCAAGCAATTCTGCCTCAGCCTCCTGAGCAGCTGGGACTACAGGCACATGCCACCATGCCCAGCTAATTTTTGTATTTTAGTAGAGACGGGGTGTCACCATATTAGCCAGGCTGGTCTCGAACTCCTGACCTCGTGATCCACCCGCCTTGGCCTCCCAAAGTGCTGGGATTACAGGCATGAACCGCCGTGCCCGGCCGGAAGGTTTTCTTAAAATTACTGTGTTTAGTCTTCCACAGATTTATTTATTTTTTTTTAGCACAGGAATTTTCTTGTTTAATTAATACTATTTAAAATCAGATTAGTTATTAGCTGAGTTTGTTATAAATGAATAAAATTATTAGTCATCTTTTTTTGTCAGTTTCAAAAAAAAAATAGCAATTTATGCAAAATTTGTCCTTAGGATCATTACTTCCTGAATACATTATGGCAGAAATACACTATTCTCTTGACTGCTTTATTTATTGTTTTAAAGGCCAAAAACAAAAGAGAAAAAACATTTTTCTTCAAGCTTGTTTTGTTTTGTTTTGTTTGAGACAGGGTCTTGCTCTGTCACCCAGGCTGGAGTGCAGTGGCATGATCTTGACTCACTGCAGCCTCCGCCTCCCGGGATCAAGTGATTCTTGTGCCTCAGCCTCCAAGTAGCTGGGACTACATTACCGGTGTGCACCACCACGCCGGCTACGTTTTGTATTTGTAGTAGAGATGGGGTTTCACCGTGTTGTCCAGGCTGGTCTCGAACTCCTGACCTCAAGTGATCACCCACATTGGCCTCCCAAAGTGCTGGGATTACAGGCGTGAGCCACCATGCCCAACCTATAAACTGTAATAGTTGAAATTCATAAGGACACAAAGGTCTTTTTTTTTTTTTTCCTGAAAGTGTAAAGTTCAAGTCAAAAGCTCACTTAAATCTGTAAGGACTCTAGTTGCTATTAGAAGTAGAAGAAAATTAATGAATTGTCTTGTCATATAATATAGGTTTACACTAAGTAAATTGTGTGATACTTCAGTGAGTTGTAATGCAATTAAGTATAATGAATCACTTTTCAGAGATGTCAGAGACTTAGCTAATTCATTGGGGAGGAAACTGAAGGGAAGAGATTGTCATTTGACAAGTAGTGCTAATTTATTCGTGTCTTTCTACCTAATCTCTGGGTTGCTTTGAATTAACAATTTTAAATGTTTTAGATTGGCTTCATTGTGTTTTTGAAATAGTTCAAAGTTGTGTCTTTCCAAGCTTGGCTAGTGATTTGGTCTAAGTGTAGCTATAGTATTAATTCTTTAACGTAAAAGATGAGAGTTCTTCTAAAGGGATTCATTTGAAAAGAAAAGTTTTTCTATTGAGTTTACTGATTTAATTTTGTTTGTTTGTTTCAGATTGACGTGAGTGAATTCAGATATAATTCAAGCTTGTTAGAGGGCTTTTTAAAAATAAAAAGTTGATTCTGTGCAAGAGAGCAAGTTACTGCTGCTTACCGTTCAGAGACTTACAGGTGCTTGCCTGCATTGCAATAAAGGACTCATTTATTGAGCAAGACATATTTATCTCTTCATTTTGGAGAGCCTAATAAACTGTTATTACAGTTTCTCTACTGACTTTCAAAAGTTTTGAAGTTTGAAAGACACCTTTGCAACTAAAACAGCATGAGCACGGCCAGAACAGAGAACCCTGTTATAATGGGTCTGTCCAGTCAAAATGGTCAGCTGAGGGGCCCTGTGAAGCCCAGTGGTGGCCCTGGAGGAGGGGGCACACAGACACAGCAACAGATGAACCAGCTGAAAAACACCAACACAATCAATAATGGCACTCAGCAGCAAGCACAGAGTATGACCACCACTATTAAGTAAGTGTTAGACTAAATCATAAACACTCTTGGGGAACCAAGATTTTTGTTTCTTTGGTGTTGACTAATTAATACTTATACCTTAATTTAACAGTTTTGGTTACAAATAGAGAACAGATGACTTTGTTTTATGGTCAGTAGGTATTTGCAATAGAATAGTGTGTTTCTGCCATAATTTTTTCAGCAAGTAATGATCCTAAGGACAGATGACATACACAAATTTTGTATAAATTATTTTTTGAAACATTTCTGGCGTTCACAATTAGTGAAGAAGTTATGGCCAAGCACAGTGGCTCATACCTGTAATCGCAGCACCTTGCGGGGTCCGAGGTGGGTCACCTGAGGTCAGGAGTTTGAGACCAACCTGACCAATGTGGAGAAACCCCATCTCTACTAAAAATACAAAATTAGCTGGGTGTGGTGGTGCATGCCTGTAATCCCAGCTACTCGGGAGGCTGAGGCAGGAGAATCACTTGAACCTGGGATTCGGAGGTTGCAGTGAGCCAAGATCGCGCTATTACTCCAGCCTGGGTAACAAGAGCGAAACTCCATCTCAAAAAAAAAGTTATTAGCTGAGTTTGTTATAAATGAATAAAATCATTAGAGCCATCTTGTTTTTGTCAGTATAGTTTTTTTTTTTTTAGTGTTAATGACTGTACCTTACCTTAGTTAAACAGCAGATAAAGCCAACTTTAAGTTTTAAATTTAAAGACTCAGTCTGAGTCTTTAGCGGCTTTAAAGACTTGCCCAATCTTCCGAACTCCAAGCAAAATTCACTCATAATTTTTTTTTAGCTTATGAAACTTAGTATTTTCACTTTAAAAAAAAAGCTGGCTGGTTGAGGTGACTCATGCCTGTAATCCCTGTTCTTTGGAGAGGCCAATGTGGGAGGATGACTTGAGTCCAGGAGTTAGAGACAAGCCTAGCCAACATAGCAAGACTGTGTGTCTACCAAAAAAAATTTTTTTTTCTTTTACACAGAAACCAAGAGGGAACTAAGAATTGAACTCACAGAACACAATTTTGAACAGTCTCAAAAACTTTTTGTTAACTTTAAAATTGAAGCACCTCCTTACTAGAGGGTATTTTTTAAAGTTTAAATTATGTACGCTATTTGTCACTTTTAAGTGCATACTTTAAATTACAGTATTCGAATGGTAACCATTATTCTAAAGATTAACATTTAAGATTCTTGACTCCAGTTGACGTTTGGCTTTTGTTAAGAACTTGCCATAGAAAATAATTTAATCTCTAGGAATCTTTATAAGATACTGACACTGGGTTACTAAACTGAGGTATATGTTTTGTACAACCTAGATCTTTTCAGTTCCTACAGAAAAAGAGCTTATGCAAGCTACCAGACCGTCATACAGTTACTGTATGTGGTTCACTAGGACCTCTAAGAACTAATTTTCAACAGAATTGGTTTGGTCACTGGCAGAATTGGTGTTACTGTATCTTCTATTATTTTAAGGTGAATTCTTTAATTGGTATAGAAATGGATATTTCCTTAATTGTTGTTTGTCTTGACAGAACATAAATAGGTTAGCAAAATTGAGACTGTTTTTAATTGTTTTTTATAATTTTTTTTTTTTTTTGAGACAGGGTCTTACTTTGTTGCTCAGGCTGGAGTACAGTGGCATGATCATGGCTCACTGCAGCCTCAATTTCCCAGGCTTAAGTGATCTTCCTGCTTCAGCCCTACAAATACTGGGGACTGCTGGCATGCGTCAGTAGAGATGAGGTTTCGTCATGTTTCCCAGGCTGGTCTTGAACTCCTGAGCTCGAGTGATCTGTCCACCTTGACTTCTCACAGTGCACCTGTTTTTAATTATTATTATTATTTTTTTGAGACGGAGTCTCACTCTGCTCCCACGGCTGAAGTGCAGTAGTACAGTCGTGACTCACTGCAATCTCCACCTCCTGGGTTCAAGCGATTCTTCTGCGTTAGCCTCCTGAGGAGCTGGGATTACAGGTGTCCACTGCCACACCCAGCTGATTTTTGTATTTTCAGTAGAGATGGGGTTTCACCATGTCGTCCAGGCTACTCTTGAACTCCTGACCTCAGGTAATCTGCCTACCTTGGCCTCCCAGAGTGCTGGGATTACAGGTGTGAGCCACCATGCCCAGCCTTTGAGAATGTTTTCTATTTAAGAAACTCTGGGGCTGGGTATGATGGCTCATGCCTTTCATCCCAGCATTTCGGGAGGCTGAGGTGGGAAGATACTTGAGGCCAGGAGTTTGAGACTAACCTGGGCAACATATCAAGACCCTGTCTCTAGAACATTTGCATTATGTCTCTATTTTGTTTTTTATTTATTTATTGACTTGGAATCTTGCTCTGTTGCCCAGGCTAGAGTGCAGTGTTGTGATCTTGGTTCACTGCAACTTCTGCCTTCCAGGTTCAAGTGATTCTTCTGCCTCAGCCTCCTGAGTAACTGGGACTACAGGCATGGGCCACCATACCCAACTAATTTTTGTATTTTTACTAGACAAGGGGTTTCACCGTGTTGGTCAGGCTGGTCTTGAGCTCTTGACCTCGTGATCTGCCCCCCCTTGGCCTCCCCAAGTGCTGGGATTACAGGTGTGAGCCACCGAACCTGGCTTATTTGTTTATTTTTGAGACAGAGTCTCCCTCTGTTACCCAGGCTTGAGTGCAGTGGCGTGATCTCAGCTTACTGCAGTCTCTGCCTCCCAGATTCAAGCGATTCTCCTGCCTCAGCCTCCCGAGTAGCTGGGACTGCAGTTTTGTGCCACCATGCCTGGCTAAATTGTATATTTTTTTTTTTTTTTTTTTTTTTTTTTTTTTTTGAGACGGAGTTTCGCTCTTGTTACCCAGGCTGGAGTGCAATGGCGCGATCTTGGCTCACCGCAACCTCCGCCTCCTGGGTTCAGGCAATTCTCCTGCCTCAGCCTCCTGAGTAGCTGGGATTACAGGCACGCGCCACCATGCCCAGCTAATTTTTTGTAGTTTTAGTAGAGACGGGGTTTCACCACGTTGACCAGGATGGTCTTGATCTCTTGACCTTGTGATCCACCCGCCTCGGCCTCCCAAAGTGCTGGGTTTACAGGCTTGAGCCACCGCGCCCGGCCAATTGTATATTTTTAATAGAGATGGGATTTCACTATATTGGCCAGGCTTGTCTCGAACTCTTGACTTCAAGTGATCTGCCCACCTCGACTTCCCAAAGTGCTGGGGTTACAAGTGTGAGCCACCACCCCGGCCTATTATCTTATTTTTCAAATGAGAGAGTAGCCGTGGTGACTTACATCTATAATCCTAACACTTTGGGAGGCCAAGGCAGGTGGATTGCTTGAGCCTGGGAGTTCTATAATATATATAAAATCTTATCGTTTTTAAATGTTGACAACTAATTTAAACTAGTTTAAATTAAGACACACACTGTGTAGCTGGGCATGGTGGCACGTGCCTGTAATCCCAGCTACTCGGGAGGCTGAGGCAGGAGAATTGCCTGAACCCGGGAGGTGGAGGTTGCGGTGAGCCGAGATCGCGCCATTGCACTCCAGCCTGGGTAACATGAGTGAAACTCCATCTCAAAAAAAAAAAAAAAAAAAAAAAAAGACACATACTGTGTAGGTCAAACAAAACACCTTTTGACAACAGTTACACTATATACCATATTGCTTAAGAGGATGGATGCCTTAATCCCTTCTCTTCTTGATTTTTTTATCCTTCCAAGATTGTTTCTCTATAAGAACACATTTTCTAAAGTTGTTTAATTCTCTTCTTAAATATATTAAGTGGAATATATTAAACTTACTTTGCTTTTTAAAACCTAATTATAATTGAGATGAATCATCTTCATATTGTTAGGTAGGATGCTAGGAATTTTGATACTTTAAATTTACTGTATTCTCTCTAGACCTGGTGATGACTGGAAAAAGACTTTAAAACTCCCTCCAAAGGATCTAAGAATCAAAACTTCGGTAAGTTGGTTGTAAAATTCTACTAGAATAACAGTGGTGGGGGGAGGAGGGGGACTTGAAGTAAAATACAGCTGTCCCTTGGATTCTGCAGGAAATTGGTTTCAGGACTATAACACCACTCTTACCCTTCTCTTCTGACCCAGAGAGATAGATATTCAGGCTATGTATTCCCATTTTGTGGATGAGAAAACAAAAGTTCAGAGCAGTTAGTTCTCTTAGCCTATTGTTTTCAACCTGGGAGATTTTTTTTTCCCTGGGGGCATTTAGCAGTTTATAGAAACACGTTTTGCTTATCATCACTGGGGGGATGCTAAAGGACAGCCCTTTACAACAAAGAATTTTGTGGCCCAAAATGTCAGTAGTGCTGAGCTTGAAAAACTTGACTTAGCCAAAGATATTTGTAGTTAATGAGTGGTAGAGCTGGGATTTGACTTTATATCTTGTGATTTGCAATTCATGGCATGATACTTGTGTGGAAAAAAAAAACACTATTCCACTGTCCTTAGATGACTGTCCCAAAGGGCTGGGCACAGTGTCTCACCCCTGTAATCCCAGCACTTTGGGAGGCCAAGGCAGGCAGATCATCTGAGGTCAGAAGTTCTAGACTAGCTTGTCCAACATGGCGAAACCCCATCTCTAGTAAAAATAGAAAAATTAACTGGGCGTGGTGGCAGGCACCTGTAATTCCAGCTATTCAGGAGGCTGAGACAGGAGAATTGCTTGATCCCAGTAGATGGAGGTTGCAGTGAGCCAAGATCATGCCACTGCACTCCAGCCTGGGCGACCGAGCCAGACTCCGTCTCAGAAAAAAATAAAAAGAAGGCTTTGACCAAGTGTCCTTTCCCCAAAACAGCTTTTAAATAGTTTGTGTGTCAAAGCGGGGAGAGTAGTTATTCTTCAGGAAAAGTTGAAATATAGATGACAAGTAATCTGCATATATTTAAGGTTGGGCAGGTAAAGTACTAAAGTCAGATAAGATTTGGTTTTTTGTTTTTTTTGTTTTTTTTGTTGTTTTTTTTTTTGAGACAGTCTGGCTCTGTCCCCCAGGCTAGAGTGAGGTGGTAGGATCTCAGCTCACTGCAACCTCAGTCTCCTGGGTTCAAGCGATTCTCCTGCCTCAGCCTCCCAAGTAGCTGGGACTACAGGTGTGCACCACCAGTCCCACTAATTTTTTATATTTTTAGTAGAGATGGGCTTTCACCATGTTGGCCAGGCTGGTCTCAAATTTCTGACCTCAGGTGATCCACCCGCCTCAGCCTCCCAAAGTGCTGGGATTACAGGGGTGAGCCACATGCCTGGCCCAGTTAAATTTTCTTAAACATAGATAAATTTACCACAGGACACAGTGTTGTTTATTCTTTCGCTGTTTCTTTTGTTTGTTTGACTAGGATGTGACCTCCACAAAAGGAAATGAGTTTGAAGATTACTGTTTGAAAAGGGAGTTACTGATGGGAATTTTTGAAATGGGCTGGGAAAAGCCATCTCCTATTCAGGTATGTTTACCCTTCTTATCACATATATAAGGTTATGTGTCAAGTATTAAACGGTTTTCTTTTTGTTTTGTGGAAGTAGTATAGTGAACTAACATTTCTCTCTCATGTATACACACCTTTTCTGAAATTTTTAAGGGTAAGCTAGAAAATCATGGCCTTTTACCTCTAAATATTTCAATGTTTATTTCTTAAGAATAGGATATTCTCTGATATAACCACAGTACAGTTACTGTCAATTAACGTTGATAAAATAATTCTATCTCATCTGTCATTCTAATTATTAATTGACCCAAACCTGTCCTTTATAGCAGTTTTTTTCTTCTATACAGCATCCAGTCTAGGGTCAGGCATTACATGTAGTTACATCTCTTAATCGTTAGCATTTCCTTGTTTTCTCTTCTTTTTTCATGTTGACAGATTAAAAATACAGCATACAACCCCTTCCCCCATTCATCTGTTTTTTTATTGTTTTTTTTTTGTTTGTTTGTTATTTGTGACTGGGTCTTCGCTCTGTCAGCAAGGCTGTAATTCAGTGGCTTGATCTTGGCTCACTGCGGCCTTGACCTCCCAGGCTCAAGTGACCCTCCTTCGTCAGCCTCCTGAGAAGCTGGGATTACAGACATGTGCCATCACACCCAGCTAATTTTTGTATTTTTTGGTAGACACGGGGTTTTGCCATGTTGTCCAGGCTGGTTCAAACTCCTGGGTTCTCCATAGTTCTAGGATTATAGACATTAGGCACCATGCCTGGCACCCTTTTTTAACTGTGAGAACATTCCCCATTTGGGGATTTTCTGTTATTCCCAAGTAGGTTCAAGTTAGGCATTCTCAGCCAGAATAATGCAGAAATCACATTATGGCTGCCTCAAGGTATCATGTTTGAAGGTGTACATAGTGTCCATTTGTTCCTCTTTGATGATGTTAATGTTGTCTGATTTTTCTGTTGTATGGTTACTGCTCTTTCCTCTCTCACTTGAAACTAATAAGCAATCTGGGGTGCATTTTAATTTTAAGACCGTGAAGATACAATAACACCACTGACACCCTCCTCCTCAAACCCAGTAAGATAGATATTCAGGCTAGGTTATTATTCCCATTTTTGTGGATGAGAAAACAAAAGTTCAGAGCAGTTAGTTCTCTTAGCCTATTGTTTTCAACCTGGGAGAATTTTTCCCCCGGGGGCATTTAGCAATTTGTAGAAACAAGTTTTGCTTGTCATCAATGGGGGGATGCTAAAGGACAGCCCTTTACAACAAAGAATTTTATGGCCCAAAACATCAGTAGTGCTGAGCTTGAAAAACTTGACTTAGCCAAAGATATTTGTAGCTAATGAGTGGTAGAGCTGAGATTTGACTTTATATCTTGTGATTTGCAATTCATGGCATACTTGAGTGAAAAATAACAAAATTTCCCCCTAGTTTTGGCATCCATGCTTGATCTCATCTCTGCCAACGACTGGTTATGATGACTTTGCAATTCTAGCACTCCCTCCGTATTTGGCCCTATAAAGAAGAAGCTTCCTCTCTCAGAATGTCTCCAGAAGAAAAAAAAAAAAAAAGAAACTTCCCTTTTCCCCCACCCATATAT